TCCAATCTTGTCCGCATCACTTTTTTGAAATACTCACAAAAATGGGAAAAAAACTTTAGACAAAAATTCAATAAAATAAATATAAGCAACAAACAGCCTTACACCGAGCCGGATGTTCATTTTGACACTGTCCATTGCTGGATGACCATTTTCAGTGCGCAGAATATTTGCCCGCATGTCTTCCTCAAATTTTGGATCAAGACGAAGCCATAAAGTCAGTGCTATTACAGCAAGTCCAATTAGCTGAAAAATCACAAATAGTATTCCTTACGTGTAAAACGATAAGGAACATACCAAGAGCGGCCATCAAAAAAATTGCCATTCCAATTGTTTTTTTATGAATAACGTAAAAATAAATTCGTTTATTTTGTCCAAAAATCATATTAGAGCGATTTAACACTTCCTAAATTGCTGGAAACAATTTTCCCCAAGCTACTCACCATCTGTATAAATGTTATTGCGCAAAGCATAAATCGAGCAAAAGGTCGACAGCCACTTTTCTCACTCATGATAGAATAAAATTATTGTAAGACTGTCTCCGGTGAAAATCCTGCAACACTATTTAGAATCTCACAAATAAATAAGTTTTAGCAAAAATGCTGCCCAAAGACAGTTTTGGCCCATTCACATACGTTTTGACAATCTTGTGAGTATTTCACGTGGATAGCAAGTATCAGATTTTGATACAGCTGTATCAGCTGATTTGATCATGAAATAAACAGCAATCAAAATTTCAATGTCGAATGCAAGTTTTAACAGAACCTTTAACATACAGTCCATGACTTTTATCGGGATCTACCAGCCAGTTTCGCTGCCCCGTCATGCTTACTTCCCGTTTATCCCGCCTCTGTGCAGCTTAAAAATATTCTGTTTTTCTTTCAGCGCAGAAAAATAGGATAATAAATAGTAATTTATAATTTATAGAGTAAAATAAAAGGGGTAACAACAGTTGGCAAAAATTTTAAAAATAATAGAAATATTATATAAAAGTAAGAAAAAGACAAATAAAGACGAGTAATAAATAGAAATGAATGAGGACTAATATTCCGGTTCATTGTGCCGCACACACACCTAGTTAGTGTTATGGATGCTGTCAGTATGACATTTGTAGTGCTGCTATAACAACAAACATAGAATTAATGAAATATTAAAAGTCAAAGATGTAGGAATACAGATTTTTGATAAAGAGTCAGATTTCGATGTTCTTGAACCTTATCGTTTAACCAAATTTGCACTGGCTTTTACAGCTTTTTTTTTTATGCGTTTTGTGCTGTGTAACAGCAGTACAAAACGCATATTGTTACGGGTTGTCTGTGTG